GATAAAGTGTTAACGAGCGTCGTGAAAAGTGAACTGTTCATGTGAGAAAAGTGTAAATGTTAACCTTTCGTCACATGTTATTTTAAATAAAATCATTTTCTTCGATTTATGGATGTCGAGTCGCCTTTGTCCTAAATTGTCGCTCATATTATTTGTGTGATAATCCTGCAGGCGACGGATTAGTTCAATTCCTATCAATTCGAGTACATTTAGTAAAAAGCTGTTATTTTGACATTTCAGACACTTCAATTCAATTTATCTGTATAGATTTGTTTTAGAGTAATGTTACCATCGTATAAATATTGACATTAACATTTATACGATACTAACGTCACTCAAATGTTTTGCCTTACCGGAACCTTTCCACTAACACTTAAACTCTAAGGTATGGTGTTAAAGTTCAAATGGACTTTTAAGTATTATTACGAATCTTTTGTATGGGAGTATAGAAAAGTGTTGTTTTCACACTTTTTCAGGCAATATTTTAAATGTTTCGCTCCGTAAGAACCATCCTCGTACTTCAAAGAACATTCTAAAAAAGAATTAGCGAAATCGGTTCAGCTGCTCTCGAGATTTGCGCTTAGCAACACATACAGCGTTTCATTTTCATATTATAGATTATATAGTTTTTAGATTATCAAGTTTAGTTATTGAGTCTTTCTATATAGTAAGCCTCTGTAACAACCCGGAGTTGGGAAGTTGGCGGTGTTTCAGTAGTCTCAATGGAATGGTCAAATGGAATGGATGAATCGGCTAGGAGAACATCATCATTAAAAAGCAGGCTAAAGTGCAGTTACTCAAATATAAATATTTAAATAAATATATATTGTATATACATATAATAAAATATTATACATACATATACCACAACATATGTTCATACTACTACATACACAATATAATATCATGCATAGTAATAGTAGTTAATATAATTATTGTGGAATAACTTGGGTGAGAACATGCTGTTTTATTTTCTTTTTAAAATCAGTTATAGAGGGACTTAATTGGATGTCTTTCGGGAGTTTGTTCCAGAGCAATACGCCATACACTGAAAAAGATTGTAGAAAGAACTTAGTGTTGCTCTTGGGTATGTCAATACGCATCGCAGTGATGCAAAGCCGCCTGGAACGTGAGGGAGTAGGGAGAATTTGGAAGCGAGAACAAAGGCATGAAGGAGAATTGGGATCATTAAAAATATTGAAGAGGAATGAAAGGATATGCATATCACGGCGAAGGCAGATTGGGAGCCATTTAAGTTGAGCACGAAAGTCTGATATATGGTAATGCTTACGCAAGCCAAAAATAAAACGAATAGCGAGATTTTGAAGACGCTCTATCTAAATAGCACACATCAGCGTAGTCGAGTATGGGGAGGAGAAGGGACCGAGGAAGCAAAATCTTGGTTGTGAAAGGGAAGAAGAATTGGAGATGCATGCATTCGTTTGCTGACATCGTTGACATGAGCCACCCAGGTCATGTTACAATTCATAATTAAACCCATTTTTTTTTCCTTTATTTACAGTGTAGGTGTTGAGGTCCAATCGATTTTATACCTCAGTCGACTACTGCCAAAAATTATGAATGGTGACTTACAGGGATTCACAAGAAGGCCGAAAGACTGCCTACGTTTGGACCCGGACAAGATCCGAGTTCAATGCATCAATAGCATCATGCAATTCGGTCAACCCACAATGTCGATATAATTGTAAGTCATCTGCATACATATGGATGGGAGAAGGAATGATTTGTGATATGTTATTAATAAATATGGAAAAAAGTAAGGGAGAAAGTTCGCCGCCTTGAGGTACACCAGATCATCTACTGAGACTGTTTTAAAGACGAATGGTGGTATGTCAGGGGGAGCAAGGTTAAATAAAAATGAAAGCGTTTCAGTTTTTGTATGCGAATCTAAAGTGTTGGGTGGAGTGGTATAAATACAAGCTTGTAATGCCTGTGACTCGTCTACACAAAGTCAGTAATTCTTTTTATAGACAATGTCGACAAATTCAAAAACATTGTTAAAGAACGTTTGTGTGCTAAACTCGCTAAAGGCTATGATACAATAAATTATTTTATTAAGGATGGCACACTTAGGGAATGAAATAATCGCCTCCAGGCTACTTCAACTTCCCCCCCCAACGTGCGTTCACCTTGTCGTGGTGGGGGGGCTCAGTAGTGCCTGGCAACCCAACCGGGCGCGAAGCCAAGAAACGCACAAGGAGGTGGCCCACTTCGGTGGGCGGTGGGAGGTGGCCCTCTTCGGAGGCCGGTGTACCATGCGGGTTGCTCCTGGTACTTCTCTGATAGCAGAGTGGACCTTGGAGCAACCCCGTGGTTGTTGTGGTCTGCTTTGGCAGACCTGCCGTCGAGGCGTCGTAGTTGAATGCGTAAGCGATCCTGCGACGCCCCATTAAGACGGTGGAAGGCTTTGTTGGGTTTTAGTGGGTAGTACTGGCTTTGCCGGTGAGTCCCACACCTCGTGCGTAAATGCATTTCCCAACGTTAACAAAAAAAAGGCTACTTCAACTTGATAGAAATATTTTAAATTATAATTTTACTTAAAAAAAAAAGATAACGAGCTAATATTAGTTCCGCTGAGTTTCTTTCGCCAGTTCTTCTCAGGTTCAGGTAGGTTCTCAGGTCTCCGAACTGGTAGTAGACTCATGACGTTCGGTAAAAAATTGTAATAATTTAATGCTGAATAAAATATTTTGAATTATGAACACATTTCAGCTCGTATTTTGTAGAACGATCGACGCTCTGTTGCAAGACTCATACTACAAACGGCAACAGTGTTACTTTCAACATGTTGCTTTCTCAAAATCGCCTGTTGTTGAATAGATGTAAATACACCTTTAATTTAAATGGGTTCCAAGTTCTATAGATAATCTTGACTATTTTTCATAAGAACATTCTAAAATAAATTTACATTTTTCTGCTACAAAGGTGTCTGCTATTTAAAAATAGAACTTCTTAGACCAGTCGAATTATTTACACTGAGTAGATAACTTAGGATAAATTGAAGTTCAAGATTTGACTTGGCTAGTTTGAAGAGTGGGGCATTTCACGTGAAGTTTATAAAGATTGGACATACCGGGCGGGCGAAACCTAGTATATTATATTAATAATACTTATTTCACATCCTTGTAAGAGCTTAAATACGTTGAAACGAGATAAAAAATTAATAAAGTTGCGAGTTTTAATGAAATATCATGCAAACCACTCGACCTATGCAAGCGCCAGATATCACGCCCATTGCGACGCGTATGTACATTAATTAATCTAACTCCTAAACAAATAGAGATCCCATTTTGAATTTTCTTGTGTATTTTTAATATACTTTAAGCTATATTTTAAAAAAAAAAGACGAAAAAAAAATTGGTCGAAGTGACTGAAATTCAGGTTTGAAAAGTTTACTTCCGATTTTGGACATGAAAAAAAATTTCTTAATTTCATTTTATTGTAAAATTGAACAGTATTTTTTCAAACTGTATTGCTATATTAAATATTTAATTTTAATTTTGTGAAATTCGAAAAACTACTTTCATAAAATTGATATTACAATTACGACAATTCTTCAGAAACCGATAACTTGTGAAATATACATTATACAAAAAAAAATTGTGTTCACATTCATACATATTAGAAGTATAAATGGGCCCGAATATAATCGATTTTCAGAACCTCACTTTTTTTTCCTGTCCACTTCACGTGAAATGCCCCGAGTGAGACATTTTGACCTTACAATATAAAAACAGTAACTTGCGTATAACAGCATAAAGAAGATATAAGTGATTAGCCGATAACTATATTGTAAAAACTAGCTAAACTAACTAAATTTAGATCTCAATTCTTTTGTCAGTGAAGTTGACAACTACGCTTATTCTTAATATTGAACTTGGCTCCTATTTTCACATTTACGTCTTTGATGGGATATCATGATTTTTGTAAAGAAAATATTATTATTCATAATTCCAAAGTGACATGTAAATTCAATCTTTTTTTTATATAATTTTGCGACTATTCGTTAGTGGATAAGGCGGAATAGGAAAATATTATTTAATCATAATGGAACCTTTTCTCCTGACAAAGAAAAAGTTTTTGCTATTACTATGATTGCTATTGCTATTATATTTCAAAAGGCACTAGGTGTAAGGTACTGCTATTATGTTTTGGAAGGCGCGAGGTGTTAATAAAAATTAATTTTCTTTCTTCGAATTTTAAAAATTTACTTTTTTAGATTTTTCTCTTTGTATGCATGCACACGATTACCCATCTGGACACCAAATTTCAACTTTCTAGGCCACTGGAAGTGGGTTAGGTTTTACTACTATATGTCAGTCAGTGTTAAAAATGCCGAATTTTAGACGTAATATCTCAATAACCGTTTGAGCTGTATTTATTAAATTGGAGATTCTAGTTAATTTAAGGGAATTTAATAAATGAACCAAATTTCACAAGTTTATGTTAAATTGATTTTGAGTTATTACGAGGTGAAAAGTGGCTCCAAATGGTTCGTGTAAATATATACACACGGTGCTGCGTCGCCAGTTCCTTGACTTGAACTTGGCTTTACACGCTACCGCGCGTCTTGATATTTTGTATAGAAACTTGAGTTGTTTTCGTGTTTGAAAGAAATATGTATGTATGTATGTATATATATATATATATATATATATATATATATATATATATATATATATATATATAGCTGTAAAAAGAATTCTAGAAGTAGCACCATTTTCATGGGACAACCCTTAAAAAAAATAACTTTAGCGGAAGATTTCAAAAGGTAAACTTTTTAGTTTTTAGTATAAGAAATTAAAAAAAACCAATATCAGCCAAATTCGTTCATTATAACTGGATTTCGAGGTATAAACCTTATTGCACTCGACTACATACTAACAAGAAGGCTGAGGTATGAACGAAGCGTACCGACAATCTCTCAGAACTGATCTACAATTATGAAGATATTCATATAATTACTGTAACGAACTTACCTTTATCAACACTCGTGTTTTGATGATCAACTTCTTTTGACATAGCCCCTGTAAAAATTTCAATTATGAGAAATATTAAAATCAAATGTACATTTGAACAAATCTAAGTATGCAGTGCAATGTGCATATTTGTTACATACAAGTCATATGTTTTCAAGTGTTTTTCTCCTAATTATAAAATATGAGTGTGAAATCTTTAAATAAATCATAAAAAATTACCAGATTTAGTATTATTTTTTGAACTAGTTCCTTCTTGAATTTGATTTGATACTTTTAGATTGGCCGTTCTCGTGAAATATGTTAGAGGTCTATCATCATCTACTGAAAAATCGGTGTCGGTGGAAGTTAATCTCCAAGACATGGGAGTTTGGTTAGAATTTTTACGGCTTAGCCTTATACGTCGTTTCTTCATTGGTAACTGCTTATTTGGCATCCTTCTCTTCGTAGCTAATCTTTTCCCAGTGTTATTATTAATTCTGTTAATTCTGGCTCCTGACCTTAAAAACATACTGTGCGAATTTTTCAAAAGCGACTTTCTACCAGTGACATTTAGAGTTTTTGATTTAGATGACAGATTACGGGCACTGCCCGTTTCTTTAGATAATTTTAAATTAGTATCAGGCTCAGAAACTTCATCTTTTACGGCATCTGATTCAACATTGACATCCTCATCTTTTAGTCTCTCCAAACGTACAACAATAACATCATGTGGGTGCACACCTATAATACGCATAATTATAAAGTATTATTTAAAATGTAGTTCAATAGAGCATGCAAAATAATAACTAGTATGGTATACGAACTGTCAAAAGCTGCCCTATCAAGGAGTGTTTTTGCAGAGGTGGTATTGTAGAAAACATTCCTAGGCTCTTTCATAACATCCGTAGTTCTCTTTTCTACAATTGTATTTGTGGTTGAATTAGAAGGTGGAACATTCGCACCTTGTGCAAATTTTCTTTGCGCCATTATTTTTCTGTAAAAAACAATAATTACTTTTATTAAAAAAATACTGTTTATTAGTATTAACCCTTATCCACTGACGTGTCATTTAGTGACAATACTACTCAGTGGCGTAGCTTAGGGGCGACAGGGGGGTGCCCCGAATGAAGAGCATGAAAAAAGAAAGTGCTTGGATTGTCGCCGTAAAATTAAACAAGTACAATTACATTCAAAGATTCGGTTCTGGAAACAGCTTGGGCTCATTCTTATGCTATGGCAAAAGCTGTTCTTGCTCGAGTATACTTCGAATACGATTTATTTGCTGCTGAGGCTAAGTATCATCATGATTGATTTATTTCCTTCTTGAAACCGACCAAGGAGTTAACTTAGTAGACAATCATCATATTTTGAGTCAACCTTGGTACGAAAAAGAAATGAATAAGAAAGAAGAACAACTCAGAATTCTAGAATAAAAAAAAACGCGCTAATGTTAAGCTGGCTTACGAGGTCTTCAAATTATACATAAGAAAATGATTTATATAATTAAAAATCATCAATAATAATTTAATTAAAGTCATTCATAATAAATTAATATAATAGGAAATAATTTGATTACTTCAAAATTAAAATGGAATACTAATTGACTTTGATCAACAGCAGGATTGTTGATCAAAGTCAATTGAGTTTATTACTTTCATTCAGATATTAATCTTATAAGAATATAATAATCTAACAATTAATATCTCAACATTTATTTTATTTACATATATGAATTTAATTTTGAGTTACTTATTTTGTAATATCAACTTTGGAAATAAACCTAATTGTATGAAGTTAATAATTTCTAAAATTATATTATTAAATCTAAAATTCTGAAATAGTTATTTCGTTTAATAAAATGAAATTGTAAATTAGGAATACTGAACTGAATTTTAGGACGTTATTATAAAAATTTAATTAAAATTTCACTTCTGGCTGATTGTTATAAAATCTTGAGATACCGTTGGGAGAGGCAATTTTTTGAAAGGAGTTACGCACGATCGAAGATAAGTATTATTTACATCAAATTTACGCTGCCAAACTTATTATAGGACAGTACGAAAATATACTATAATTTCATTACTTTACATAAATGACTAATTTTGCTCTAGATTGCTTAGAATTTCCCCATACTAATTGCTGACTGTGAGAGAATATTCAGTAAAGTAAACCTTACTAAGACTAAGATAAGAAGCAAACTGACAACACAATGCAATCAGGTTTGGATTTAGGTATGTTGAAAAAGATAGTACAAAAAATTTAAAAGGATAGTATTTGTAAAAAAAATATAGTACACTTTGTTATTTTGAATTTAACATAGTCATTAAAAGTTTATCACAGTTCTTCAATATTAGTTTCATCCTTAGAAATCTTAGAATTTAAACTTATGAATATATCCTCAGTAGGAATACCGAATAATTAATAAAATCAGTACAATTCCTACTTTTGCTAGGTACTTTCCACCTGTATATTATTGTTCACTTTGCCCTTTGTATCTCTGGTGTCTACGGATTATGTTGCCAATTTGTTTCTTAAATTAGTCTTAATAAGGTTCCCTTTACTGAATATTCTCTCACTGTCAGAATTAAAATGGGGTAATTCTAAGCAATCGCCAAAGTGAAAAAATAAGAAAGTGTGTTTATTTGTTTTTCTTTCACATCGAAACGGAGTGACGAATTAACGTGATTTTTCGTGTGGAGATAATTGGAGGACTGGAGAGTGCCATAGGCTACTTTATACTGTAGGAGATTAGCAAATTCCCAAGGGAAAAACGTTATAATATAGTCCAAAAAAATATTTATGATCAGAATTATTTGAAACTTAGTATTAATGCTCTTCAATAAAATTAAATAAATATGTGTTTTAGCATTTTCGATATCCATACTGAATTGTACTGTAAAATAGGGGATGAAAGTTTGCACGAAACTAGCTTTTTAGAGATTCGTTTGTAGTTTTAGCGCGAACAAAGCCGCAGGTTCTTTTAATTGTAGTATAAATACCATAATTATAGCACGAAAACAAACCCTGCAATCCATACACGCCATTTTGTTATCCCGAGTTGTGACGCTATCAAAGATGGTACCTACCTAGCAAAAGTGGGAATTGTACCAATTTTATTATTTATTCCTACTGAGGATATGTTAATAAGTTAAAATTCTAAGATTTCTAAGGATGAAAGTAATATTGAAGAACTGATAAACTTTTAATGACTATGTTAAATTCAAAATAGAAAGTGTACTACAATTGTTTACAAATACTAACTATTCTTTTAAATTTTTTGTACTATCGTTTTCAACGTACCTAAATCTAATCCACTAAGAGCTCTTTATTAGACGCTGGTGCAGTTTGCATGCTTATTCAACTAGTTACTAGACCTGTTATTTGTTCGTGAATACTGTCTTTTTATTAAAAAGTATAAAAAGAAGATTATTAGCAAAAATTTTAAATTTTATCATTCATGAAGTAAACGTTTCAAATTGTTGTATACAAGCATTAAATTATAATTACTTACGACTTCATTTTGCTCTCCAATACTCCTTCATTAATACGATGAGCAGCCATTTCACAGAATAGCAGAAACAACTGTAGTCTCCTTGATGTGTGAGGAACAAGTACACAGAATACTGTATACTCCTACCGGCTAGCGGAGAACATGTAACAAAGATGAAAGAAGTAAAAACTTACGTAGTAACTAATACTTAATCTGTGGTAAAAACTATGCAAGTAGCAACTCAACGACAGAAAGTTGGAATAGGCGTCGGCCTGCAGTGTTGCCAACACTCTTTAAAGAAATCGCGCTAAATTGACTTCAAAAAAGCGCTGGATTTGGCTTATTTTGTTAATTATAATTATTTTCAATTAAATATTACACAAAACGTAATATTTACAAATTTATTACCCTGTCTTCTTCATCGTCAGAAACTTGTTAATTTTGTACAATTTGATGGTATCTAGTAACCTACATAGTTTTGATGATGACTTACATTTTGTACTTTTTTATATGTAATGTAACTAGAAATTAACATAGTATATATAAACTGAACATTATGTACCAGAGGTACAAACTTTTTGAAATAAATTTGAACCCATAAAATCGTTTTTGCGCTGTCTAAGTTTTCTTTGGCTGTGTTTTTGGGCAGCAAATAAAGTTAGTAATCGTTTTTAGTCTTTAAAAAACGAAGTTTAGTGCTTTTTTATTTATGAGGCTCTGGATACTTGTTGTTTTATTTATTTTGAACAATTACATTCCGTTATAACTTGATATTTCAAAGAAGAGGAATATTTTTTTTAACAAGCGCTATAATTCAGGGCCGGATTTAGGGGAGGGCAACTGGGGCTAGAGCCCCGGGGCCTCCACAAGAGAGGGCCCCCACAAAAGGGATTTCAAAAAAACAAATTCTGAGGGGTCGACAACTTTTCGTTTCGTTATTATTTATTTTTTCAATTTTTTTCGCACTTTAAACTATAATACTTGTACAAATATAATTGATTATATTGTTTTTTAATATTAAAAACAATTTATCCATATTCGTTCGCCGCAGTTGATCGCAGTCAGATGTAAAGAACAGATAACAGAGGGGTTATGATTAATCAATTATAATCATGTGGTTTTTGGTTCTGGGTGAGTTTATTTATTTTATAAATTTTAGGTCTGCAATATTATCATCAAATGTGCATGCACTCAAAAAAAATATTTTTCTATATCTACTCCATAGGTTTAGGTAGTTAACTAAAGGTAAACAAAGAGCTCATGGGGACTTAACCTTTTATTACAAAAATTTTAACACATATAGTCAACTAGCAAATTACGCTCGCTTCGCTCGGGTGCGTCCCTCAGTACGCGGATTTTGTTCACAATTTCATGGGTTTTAATTTTTTGCGCGGAACCTGATTTTTTTTCTAAAAAAAAAGTAGCCTGTTATAACATCAGCTATCCTCCAGTGAAAGTTCCGACAAAATCAGTCCAGCTGTTTCGGAGATTAGCCAGAACAAACAGACAGGCAAAAATTTTAAAATTTAATCCATTTATGCATTTTTATATGCATTTAATAAAAAACTGTTATTTTGACATTACAAACAGATATTTCAATTTTTTTACCTGTAAGTAAAATAGATAAAATAACTGAATTTTGTATAATTTATTTATTGAATTCATCCACAATCAAATACAATCAAAACATCACTTAAATTTATGTAAACTTATACAAATTTATATATAACAAAATATTTAAATTAATGATGTATGTTACGGACAACGAGTCTATACGATGGCAGAATCTAGCTTAAATCACGTTCCTTTATTGTACAATACAATAAGAATTTAGACTCACAGGATCATATCTAAAAGATGTTAGACGCACAGTAGCTTATTTTTATAAGATTGTAGTTTGGAAATAAAAAAACGAGGTCTTGCTCATTGTGTACCATTCATCGGATAGCCAAAGAAGAAACAACTAGCAAGAAAAGCTAAGGAAGAATCAACCATCGGGAGTTTTGAAACCCTTAAATACAGTCCGCCATATTTAAATTTAAAAATTTCATATAGTATATCATTTTAAAACAAGTGAATAAGTTTGCTTTTTTACCCGACTGCGGCGAAACAGGGTTATGTATTTAACCTGTATGTATGTCTGATTCTACGTTTCTTCGTAATCAAAATACAAGTTATTAAGAGGCGATTACAGAAATATATGTTCTTACTTCTTATGTCTTTACAACTTATATGTTTAAAGTAATTTAGGATAAGAAATCGTTAAATAAAACTTAAAATGTGTAACTCTCCTAAAAAGTTGTAAATAAAAAAATATTTACAAAAATACAATATCCAACTACATAAAAAGCGAACTAAAAAGAAGAGAACAAGTTGACGAAGGAACATAGTATTATACAGTCGGAGACATAAACATACTATGTACCTACATGTTTTAGAATAGCTGCGTGTGTGTATGTCTCCGACTACAAAATAATAATAACATTATGTTCCTTCGTCAACTTGTTCTCTTCTTTTTAGGTCGCTTTTTATGTAATAGTTTTTTTTTCTGGGGTAAAACAGTACCATGCACATCTCAAAATTATTTATGTCTATTAAAATAAAAAAAATATTATATGGAACTAAGTAAGTTAAGAGTGAATTAATAATGAAATAATTATATCCATAATAAAAAAGCATTAATGTTCAGCGAAATTATCAACGATTTTTCACTGAAAAAAGCTCGCAAGGTTCCATTCATTAGCGATGTAATTAAATTTCGGATAATTCTTCCATTTGACTATATCTACATATGTATGTTTATCTATCTATACTATAATAAAACAGTAGAGGTCGAATGTCCGTACATAGCAAAAAAATGGTAAAAACCGAGTCAGGGGGATGTAAGAAGACAAATATAACAAATACATATTTTTTCCAAATTTTTTATTTCTCTGTCTGTTTGTACGTACGTGTAATGAAATTTTGCATTGTGGTACCTTATATCCCCGGGCAACATCTTAGATTCATTTTTTATCCTGGAAAAATAAATAGTTCCCGTGGGATAGTTAAAAAACTATAATAACTTATACAGCTTAGTACACAAAAACTACTGATCGGATTTTAATAAAACCTTACAATAATATAGTTCATATATGACAATAACAAATCGGCTACTTTTCATCGCGGAAAGTTAAAGAGTTCGCGTGGGATAGTCAAAAAACTATAGGAACTTATACAGCTTAGTAAACAAAAGCTACTGATTGGATTTTGATGAAACTTTACAATAAAATACAGTGTAGTTCAGACATCAGAATAACAAAGAGGTTACTTTTTATCCCGGAAAAATGTACGGTTCCCGTGGGATAGATGTTTATGTTTATTTGTAACGTATTACGTACAAAACATAGACCCCAAAACAATAGTTATTAAAAATTTTGTCTATTTGCCTGTATGTCTGTTTGTCTGTTTTTGTATACGCGTTTCACGCGAAAAGTTATGAACCGATTTCAACGAAATTTGGTGAAGTGGAAACTTATTACTCGAGTCAACGTTTAGGATACCTTTTACTTCAAGAAAATCTTTCTTTTTCACGGGAAGATACAATAACTGGTTTTATCGAGTCCTCCCTAGAAACCTTCCGCTGACTAAACGTTAAGACATACACACATCAAAACAATATACTAAAAAAATGTAGGTCTTGAAAAGTCCTACAGGAAAGATCTGAATAGTATATGTATATCTCCTAAGCAATATCTATTCTTATCTATACCTATAATAAACTTAGTCAAATCGGTCTACGCGTTTCACGCGAAAAGTACTGAACCGAATTTAACTAAATTTTGTATAGTGATAACTTAGGACTCGGGTCCACATTTAGGATACCTTTTACGACAGGCAAATTATTCATTCCCACGGGAAAACACAATAACTGGTTCTATTGAATTGTCCTTAGTTTATGTGGCTAAAGCTGGCTCAACCTTCAGAGATACATCAAAACATTTTACAGGAAAATTGTAAGTCTTAAAAGGGTCGATAGAAAAGTTCTCAATTGTAATGTCTATCTCCTAAGGTACACTCGATATAACTATTTTCATTATTATATATTACTGTGTTTTATTATGCGTTATTTTTTCTATCTATAAATATAATAAAACAGTAGAGGTCGAATGTCTGTACATAGAAGAAAAAGCTAAAAACCAAGTCAGTTATCTTCTTACATCCCGTAAGAAGAAAAATAGAACAAGTCCAGATTTTTTTCAATTTTTTTGTTTCCCTGTCTGTTTGTCTGTTTGTACCAGCTAATCTCCTAGACTATTGAACCGATTTAAATGAAATTTTGCATGGTGGTACCTTATATCCCTTGTCAACATTTTAAATACTTTTCATCTAAAAAAATTGAAGAGTTCCCGTGGGATAGTTAAAAACTATAGTATCTTATACAGCTTAGTACACAACAACTTATGCACCTAATTTAGTAAAATTTAACATTCTGATACCTTATACTGCCGGTCAAACAACAGTTTACTTTCCATCCCGGAAAAATGAATGGTTTCCGTGAGAACTAATAGATCTCTATTAGTGTTTTTCTAGAGGCGAACCCGAGCTAAGCGAGGGTGAGCCGCTAGTTAAAAATAATTTCATTTGTTTCGCAATAAATACGTAAGTATTACACTTGACTAAAACGAAATGTTCATTTTATTCGGAAAATAATTAGGGACTCCTTTGTTGCCCCGGGGCTTTCACACCCCTAAATCCGCCCCTGGCTATAATGGGTGCTATTCGCTATATTTTTTGTTGAGGGATGACAGAGCCAAAAAGCGTTAGATCTAGCGTCGAAAGCGCTAAGTTGGCATCACTGGTAACAGGATATCTGCATCTCTATGGAAAACTCCCAGAAAATCAATAATTATCAAGTATCAATTAAATGAAGATTGACAGACAGCACCATTCGCCTACAATATGTTAAAATACATAATTCAATCTATATATATAATAAAATTGTAACTAAGCCGAATCTCTACTTTAAATATTTTTTATAAAATCTTATTGAAATAAACATTATTATCGATATAGGGGCCGAATCTATAGT